TTTTTTTTTTTTTATTAAGACATGTATTTTAAACTGGGCATTCTGACACAGGACTACACTCCCAGCTACCTGGAAGGTGAGGCAGGCGGATCCTAGCTTCAAGGCTAGCCCACAAGGGTTGGGGGTGTAACTCAGGGATACATGTGTGTTGCTCTTGGTTCACTCTTCAGCACCACAAGAAAAGGAACAAAAGTGCCTGCTTAATTTTGGCTAACCTATTAGAGTAGAAAGCTTTCTGCTCACACCTGAACCACACACATCACTGTTGTGTAACAGAACAGTTCAAAACTATGGTCTGGCAAGGGGGAGCCCTGGGAATACCTAGTAATGGGGCCCAATAAACTTCTACAAGAACCAGATCCAAACATTTCCACCTCACCCCAGAAGCTGGACCCCAAGGCAGAGCTTCCCCTGAAAAGATCAGGGCTGGTCACAGAAGTGGACAAGACAGAGGCCACCTGGGGCACATCCTCCCTTGGGGGAAGGATGACTGTCTATCTCTCAGCAACCTGCAACAGGCATGCACTGGAGACCTGACACACCTAGCGGCTCTATGCAGAAGCCATTTCTGGGTATAGATGCAGGCAGCAGAGGCACTGGGGTTACCTGGAGCTGGAACGAGCCATTACCGATTTGACTCGAAGAGGACATCTGTCGGCATTCTCCCAGCACCATCGAGGCCACAAACACCACCACGGTGGTTACCAGGGACACCAAGAGGCTTTCCAAGACTCTAGGGAGCAGAGCACAGAGGTCACAATGCAATACACAGATGGCAGGTCCTGCTGACCACCACCCTCCTTTCTGCAAGAGGCACTCCCAGCAGCCCCTGGTCAGTCAACACACACATGCAGAATTATCAATCTGCTATCACCCCACAACTTGGGTACAACGTGTGGGTAGTTTATGGACTGCATCAATCCAGCGGGCTGCTGCATTCATGTCTCTCCCGAGGAATGGACAGGCATCTGTGCTCAGTCCCAGGGCCAGGAGGAGGAGCCCATGACAGCCAGCAGGTCAAGAGGTATGCGAATCACCCACAACTTCGAAGTCAGCTCAGCTCAGCCTTTCCACCTATCTGATGAGCAGGGTGAACTTAGATCCCTCTTCTCAGCCTCAGACCAGATATCCAAGCTGGTGCGGGAAGCGGGGTCTGCTCATGTGAGTGTCTTCCTTGGGAGAGGTGGTGGCCTGGCCCTCAGCATCTCAGGGAGCTACAGCAGGCTGGGGGAGGCGACTGCACAGGTACCTGACAAGTTTAGGTTTCGGGTGCACGTTTCGCATACGGTACTTTGCAAGCCTCTTGTTCAGACAGTTGAATGTAGCTCCTAGGAGGCCCCCAATGACCCCCATCACGACGAAGAACCCCAAATCCATAGCAGTCCAGAGATGACATTTTTTATCAGAGTCAGAACACTGAGAGAAGGGAGCAGGGGGGAAGAGAGAAAAACCAGAGTAGCCATGAGCACAAGAAGGAGCAGAGGAGAAGACAGAAGCAAGAGCTGGGGCCGCCTCCCCTTCTAGAGTCCTGCTCCAGAAAGTGCAGGTGTACGCAGGAGACCAACCGGCCAGGTGCCCTGCAGGAGTGGCACCTCCCCTCCACGCACGCCCCGCCTGTGCTTTAACCACCAAGAGCATTTCACAGGCCCAGTGGGACATCTGGGGAGAAAGGACTTGACATACCTTGAACTCGCCGAAGTTCAGCAATCCAGGGAGCTGGAAGGAACCCCAACTTCCAAACTGAATTCCAGAACGGAAGAAGTTGAGAGTGAAGGTGGCAGACATAGAACAGAAGAGCTAGGAGACAGGTGACAAAAAGAACAGTCAATAGTGATACCTCTGCCTCCTAATAGTTTCTGCGAAAACTTACTGCTCTCCCTAGAGACCTACAAAACCTGGCCAGGACACAGGGAGGGGTGACTCTATAACAGAGGTGACCACTGTGACAGAGGTGCCTGGACATGAAGAGCAGCACCGGGCTCTGTCACAGAGGCCTGATTATGGAGACCTTGGAGACCTCCTCTGGCATGGACCCCGGGGCACCGGGAAGTGGAGATTCATAGGGAGAACGTGTCACTCGGTAGGACATGGGTTCAAATCCCAACCCTGTCTACTCCTGCCGTAGGCAGCTGTCAGCTTCACATTTTCCAGCTGATAAGCCTCCAGTTCGGTGCACACTTTAACCTTTGGGCAGGAAGCGCTGATTTGGGAAGCAGAAGCGCGCAGCTGGGAGGTTACAGCTGCTACGGCAAAAGAAGCTCCCACTGAGGGGACCCTCAGTCTCACCACAGCAGGGGTGGGGCAGACAAACGGCGGTGTAATCTTGGGGGCACGGGTTGGCCTAGCAGGCGGCTCCCAATGCCCAACGCTATCTCCTCACCACTTTCCACGTGAGCCCTTGGTTCCAGAACGACGAGCCCTCCTCCAGGCTGAACAAGGTGCCCCCGATCGGGGCCCCAAACGCTGCGGCAACGCCCGCAGCCGCCCCTGCCGACACGAAGTCTCGCTTGTCTCTGAGGAGAGAAGCCACAGGCAGTGATGGGTCCGCAGGCTGCACACGCTGCTTCTCACGGCCTTATCGTGCACATTCTCTCTTCTAACCCACGAACAGAATCGCAAAGGATAGGTCCTTGGAGAGGCAGACCTGGCAGCAGGTCACATGCGGGCCAACACACCCTACACGCTGAGTGTGGCTCTAACTGTCCCCCAAAGGCCTGTGTATTATGGGTTGGTAGAGAGACGGGGCCTGGCCGAGGAAGTAGGTCATTTGGGGCGTGTCCAGGAGGAGATATTGGGACCCCAGCCCCTCCTCTTCCTGTTTCAGTTCTTGCTTGGGAGAAGCAGAAGAACTGAGACCCTTAAAACCATAAGCCAAAATCAGCTTTTGTTTATAGGCTGATTTGTCTCACGTACTCTTTACAGTAACGAGAAGCTGACAGGCTGGCTGCCCAGGTGTGATGGCTCCCCACCCGGAAGTGGTGCTGCCTGTACCTGGGCACTCTGAACCTGGGAGACACAGTCCCAGTCCCTGTGGGGCCTAGATCCTATCACAGCTCTCCCAGAAAACCCTGGCGTCAGTGAGACAGTGTAAGCACTCGCTGGCTCCACACAGAAGAGCTGGTAAGCGACGACTGCAGGGATATGAGAAGGGGTCCACGAAGCTGCATGGGGGCCCCCATCCCAAGAGCCCTCCTAGCTATGCAGGAAGTAACCCACAGGCCACAGGGCTGGGGAGCCCACTGGGAAGGGCGGCTGCCAGCACAGAGGCGCCCTATGTATCACTCAGGGATACAAAATACCTTCTGGTAATATGCCCACCCTGTGCCCCTTCTTGGTTAGGTTTTTCAGTCTTGGAGTTTATTACCAGAGATGCTTCTAGGCCTTTAACATGACAAAATAAAGTCAGAGAGCCAACTTGACCTTTTTGCTTTTCAGGAGAAAAATGCAAATCCCCACTGTACCCACCTTCTGACACTCAGATTTTGCATCCAGCTGCTGAGCAGGGCGAACTAAGAGCCAGCTAGAGCCAAGTACCAGGTCTGACTGGTGGTACGCTAGGACCTTTTCCTTGAGGTTCTGGGGACTGAACTGCACTAAGCTGCAGCCCTAGCTTTTTTCATTTTTTAAGACTGAGTTTCGCCAAGTCTCTTAAGTCGCACAAGATCACTGAAACTTGCAATCCTCCTGCCTCGGCCCCCCAGAGTGCTGACATTACAGGGGCCCAGCATCATTTTGCTATTTTCCTGAGAGCCAATTCGTAATGTTTCCATACCTGTCACTTCGGAAGTAGGGGAAGTTAAGCTGAATCTTCCGTAAGGAGATGCTCTGAAACTAAAACAGGAGAAAACAAGTCGGAGAAGGGCCCACAAGGACTGACGCTATGGGAACACACAGCACCTGGACAGATGTACTGCACACAGGAAGTGCCCAGAACTGCCACCTGGAAAATGACCTTGAACCTGATGCTCAAAATGAAATTATTGCTTTCTGGAGAAGTTAATTTTAATCCTGCTCCCAAATTTCTGGGTCCTTTGAAAACTGCATTTTGTGGAGAGTCTACAAGTGAGAAAGAAAAAGGAGAAAAACCTAACAAGGAAAAAAAAAAACTAACAAGGATGGGAGGAACTGGAAGCTGTTCGAAGGGTGAAGCTGGCCCTGTTTGGGTGCTGTCAGGGAGCAAAGGCCCAGCCAAGAGCCACTGCTCGGCCCATAAAGCCCCACAGGACGCCCCACTGAGCCTGGCCTCCTCTACCTCCCAGCTTGTTCCTGGCAGACCTGGCTGTGAGGCAGCAGCAAGAGGAAAAGACTCCCCAAGAAGGAACCGCTCAGGCAGTACCTCCCCTTGGCAGGAGAGAGAACTGGGACTCCTCAGATGAGCTACACTCAGAAAGGGAGCTTGGGGGTCGGGGCAAGTTCCTCCACCACCTGTGAATCCCAGCTTTCTCACCTGAGAACCAAACATCTCAGGTGGCTCTGAAGAAGACAGGAGTTGGCCTCCGCAGAATCCTGCCTGCGGGCAGCTGTCACAGCCAGAGCCAGGCCAAGAAGACTCAGCATGGAGCTGGCCCTATCCCAGGTGGCCCTCCCTGCCCTCTGGCACTTGGCACGGAGATGACCCACCACACCACCCTACATGCAGGCACTCTGCAATGGCTGTGGTGCATCAGAGGACTTTCATTTGCCTATGTCACATTTTTTCCATGTCCTACTTCTGCTCCTAGGACCCAGGAAGGCCTCTGTAATAAGTTGTATTCTAAGGCCTAGGTCATATGCTCTGCTGAGTCAGACCACAAGGTTTTCTTAACCCAATAGCATCAGGCTCCAAGGTCATGTTAGCGTGGCCCCAATCCATGCCCAGCCACATCCTTGGCCCAGGCAGGAGTCTGCTCTGAGCGATGTAGCCCCAGCCCAGTGGGCCTTACCTGAGGAAGGCCAGCTCCCACCACGGCCCCACTGTGGATCATGGGGCCCTCCTTCCCCACAAACAGGCCTGGGACAGTGAGAGAGACAGCAGTCAGCACAGAGGTCTCTGGCTCAGGAGACCTTTGCCAAAGACCTTTCTCTCGACTCACAGACAAGCAGTGGGCCATCTAAGGGGAAGGGGGAGCTAAGCCCCCAGCAAAAACCAGTTCCATTTAGAAGTCCTGCTAGGAGGTTTGCACAGGGTGCAGACCCACTCCCTTATTACCATACACGCCTGGAGCTAGCATGGCTTTTACAGCCTGCAGTGGGTATACTCTAGATGGGCACCTAAGTGCCCACACCATATCCTTGTGCTGCTTCTTGGCCCATACAGCCTAAAAGATTGGCACAAAAAGTGCACTGCCTTTGGGAAAAGCCAACCCCATAAACCGATTACATGGGTGTGACTGAGAACAGCGGGCGTGTGTCAAGCCTCTCTGAGCAGTACTATACTAACAATGTCTGCATGTAAAAGCCTTTGGACAGAAGCAGCAGACACTGCTTCGGGCGGACCCTTCAGTGGGCAACGCACTACACACCGAGTGCTTCCAGTCAGCCTCACCCGAGCTCCTGAGGGACAGGAGCCGAAAGAGCCTCCTTACCGCCGGCCACACCGAACAGCACTCCGAAGGCTTTGCAGAGCAGGGTCCGGAGCCGGACAATTCCCGGCACCTTCACACCATTCAGATAGCACTTGATCTCAGGGATCCCAGAGCCCGCCGCCACCGGCTGATGGGGACAGGAGACACCTCGTCAGCTCAAACTCCGCTGCTGCTTGGCTTTACCTTAACAAGTGGGACATGGGGAACTCCCTGGGAGTCATCGGGGTCACCTGAAGGTCTATGTAGTCACAGGAGCTGGGCCCACCCTGATTCCACATTCAGCAGCCTCAGGCACAGGACCATGTGCACTTCCGGCCAGGTCCCTGGGAGTCTGCCTCTGGTAGGAGCCAGTGGCAGCCAGTCAACCAACAACAGTGTCCCACCTCTTAGTCTTGACCCAGGGGTGTGCACAGTCCTCCAGCTGGTTCAGTGTGCTGCCGCAGGGAGAAGCCCATCTACCTACAGCTTCCCCCTCCACCCTCACTGCAGGCCAGAACCTTTACTTCCAGAAACCCCCCAGTGAGCCAGAGGGCCCTTCTGCAGGAACCTAGGTGCCCCTCGGGATGTTCCCCACATACTCAAACTGGAGATGGGAAAATGAAGAGCAGGACCCCAAATTTCATTCATCGAGCAACGTCCAATCTACCCACCTCAATTAGGACAAGAAGGCTGGCCAAGAAGACAAAGGTCAGGTTAAAACCCAAGAGCTCCAGGAGAGACAGGGCCAGGCAGCCTTTCTGGCTACACTCCTCCACTGCTGTAGAACTTCAGTTAAGGCAAAAGGGCTCTCAGCCACTGGGCGTCCCTGTTACCACGGGAAAAGGTACAGCTCCCTCTAAGTCACTTCGGCTGCCTAGTGCACACCTTCCTTTCTCCATGAATAGAGTTTTAAAGCTGCCTGAGGTAATAGCTACAATAGGAACTACTTAAAAATACGGAGAACCTGCCAGGTGTTCTGTCTGGCACATGCCTGTAATCCCAGCCCTTGGAAGGCTGAGGCAGGATTCTTGTGTGTTCAAGGCCAGCCTGGGCTACACAGTGAGTTCCAGATCAGACAAAACTACATAAGCAAGACCCGATCTCAAAAAAAAAAAGAAAAAAGAAGTAAAAATATGGAATACTTCAAATGCTACATCAAGTTACATATGCTCACAGCCCTCACTTTAAAAAACCTCAATATTATGCCAGATTTTCTCCAGATAGTTTTAAAATAAGACATTAGATACCCTTTAAAAAAGAAATTAACGACAGGTGCAGTAACATGTGCCTATAATCCTTGCTACATGGGAAGGGGACCCTGGGATAGAAGGATCTTGAGTTCAGTCAGCCCAGGAAATATAGCAAGACCCCATCTCAAATACCAAACCAAACCAAAACAACACTTTTTCCTTCCTTGTTCCTCTGGGAGAAGCTACTAAGCTGAATTCCTTTTTGCGTGTGTGTGCGTGTTTGTATAGGGTCTCACTATGCAGCTCAGACTCCTAGTGATCCTCCTGATTTCTGCCTCCCTAGTGCTGGGATTACGGGTGTGTGCCACCATGTCTGGACTCCAGCACAGGCTCAGGGTGCTGGGGGCAGGGCCAGCATGGCATGCAATGCCTGGGATCGAACTCCGGCTTGCCTAAGCAAGTGCTTAGTCTGCTGAGCTATGCTGCCAGCCCTCCTTGCATGTTTTATGTCCATATTTTTCACGCCATCCTCTATGTATGTTCCACAGCTTCCTGCTTTTGTCTCAACATTTAAATTTTTTTTAAAAAATTTAAATTTTTGAGAGTTAACCACACTTATGTACATAGCTCTGCTTCACATCTTCTGTGTGAAGTTAAATCATAAGACTGCACCATAATTTTTTTACTCCTGCAACCAGCAGTACATTATGGAGCTCTTTTTAAGGCAGGGAACACTTTTTATTCAAAACCCATCAGAGAGGGCCGGGGAGATGGCTCAGTGGAATAAGCATTTTGCCTGGCAAGCGCAAGAGCCTGAGTTCAATCCCCGGTTCCACCAAGAAGAAAAAAAAAGAAAGCAAAACCCATCAGGGAATGGACAATCTGGGCCTGTGACAAAGCACTTATTTTTTTTTAATTAATTTATTTATTTATTTATTTTACATTTATTTATTGTGTGTGTGTGTGTGGCCAGCTCAGCCCACCAGGGGGCGGGGCCGGCTGGCATGTGGCGCTGGGGGACCGAACCGCGGTCCCTGTGCTTTGCCAAGTTTGTTCCAAGTAGGTGCTCTAGACCACCGAGCCATCTCACCAGCCCCAGCACTTATGTTTTAAAGCATAGGTCAGTAATTGAATGAGAGCATACACTGCTATATATGAACTAACTGATCAGACCACAACTTTTCAATGTTTTAAAACAGACTAAGCTTCCCTATAAAAGCACCTTTGTGACATTTTTAGTATTCCTCTCCTTCCACAGAATCCACACCAACCTCCTCATAATCCTTCTCGAGGGCAGCCAGGTCCTCCTGGGCCTTAGAAAACTCCCCTTTCCTCTATCCCCTCACCCACATACCAGTGAACGAAGGCACGCTTGGCGCACATCAGATCAACTGTGGTCCAGGCGAGCCCAGGCCTCGGCGACTGCTGTGGTGCTGCTCAGCATGCACACCGCCCGCTGTACCTTAGCCAGGTCTCCATCAGGCACCACAGTGGGGGGCTTGTAATTAATGCCCACCTTGAAGCCAGTGGGACACCAGTGCACAAACTGGATGGTTAAAGTCAGATTTTTTTCCCATGAGAGATAAGGGGCTTCCAAGCTTCCTCTGGTGTAGGCCTCGCTGCATCCCAGAGAGCACAGCACTGCAGAGAGCAGCACCACATGATTAAGCCCAGCTTCCCTCTGAGGTCAGAGATGGGAGGTGCGGTCGCAGGCACTGCCCACGCATGTCTTCTGTGGTCTGCATCCCTTCCTGCCCTGCTCCTTGTGACACAGGACCCCAACACACCTGGACACGGCCTCTCTACTTCCTCAGAGCTGGCTCGGAGGAAAGCCTGTCTCCTTTTTACCCAAATAGACAGCCTCATTTGATCTGGTCAGTGAGCCTGCGCATGGCAGCCTGGCTGCGCAGTAAAGCTCCCAGCTCGCAACACCACCTTCCTGCCGTCACCAGGGTGATGGTCACCTCTGGACCTGGCCCGAAGGGGAACTTGGAACAGTCACAGGAACAGGCACCTTCTGACTTTTCCTGGCGCTTACTAGCTTTCAGGTTTTCTCCTGAGAAGCTATTCACATTCTTTCCCATTTTTCTCTTGGACTGCTGGGATCTTCTCCTTTCTACTTTTTTTTGGGGGAGGGGGTCTTTGTGAGACAGAGTATTGCTATGCTGTTCAGGCTGGCCTTGAGCTCACTCAGTAACCCAGGCCGGCTTCAAGCCAGGAAAACTCCTCCTGCCTCAGCATCCCAAGTACTGGAATTTTAGGCATATGCCACATTATGCCTGGCCTTCTTTCTAGATTTTGGAGACTGAGAACTTGTTTTTCACTCTATAGTGTTTTGTTGTTGTTGGGAATATAATATCCCCTTTATAGGTGCAATATTTATTTTGATGTGGTCAAATCTATCAATCTTTCCCTTTACAGCCTATGCCAACTAGAGTTTTAAGAAACTAGTTCCTACTTTTTTTTAAAAACGTATTTGGGGGGGTGCGGGGAGATGGCTCAGTGGAATAAGCACTTCCCTGGCAAGCACAAGGATCTGAGTTCAATCCCTGGTTCCACAAAAATAAATAAATAAATAAACAAACAAATAACTTATTTGGTTGTTATAGGATCTCAATACACCGCTAAGACTCAGTGATCCCTGTTTTTCAGCCTCCTCAGCGCTGGGATAACAGGGGTACATCATTACGCCCATAGTCCCTACTTAGGATATTACCTAGTCTCTTAAGACTTTGTCTTGCTTATTGTTCAGTTCAGCTTATTTATAACATGAATAGGAATCTATTTCTGCATGTGGATTAACTAATGTCTCAGAATATTTTATTAAATAATCCATCCCTTGGGCTGGGGATATAGCTCGGTGGCATAAGCACCTGTCTGGCAAACACAAGGTCCCGAGTTCAATCCCCAGTACCCAAAAAAAAAAAAAAAAAAAAGTCGCAGCATTGGTGGTTCAGTGGTAGAATTCTTATCTGCCCCCCCAAATCCATCCCTTCTGCATTAATAGCCAACACTGTCATTTATCAAATTTCTCTATAAAAAAAATAGCAATTCCCTATTATTGTCCCACTGGTTTAGATACTGCTGTATCAATATAGTACTTTTTCAATTACTGTATCTTAAACTTTAGCTGGGTGTGGTGGTCTATGCCTGTAATTCCAGCACTCACAAGACTGGGATGGGAGGATCACTGTGAGCTGAAGGCCAGCATTAACTACACAGTGAGACCCTACCTCAAAAGCCAAC